CTGGAGTGTAATGGCACCCTCTCGGCTCACTGTAGCCTCAACGTCCCAAGCCCAAGCGATCCTCCCATTTCTGCCTCCCAAGCAGCTGGGACCATAGGCATGTGCCACCATGCCTGGCTAATTTTTGTATGTTTTTTTAGAGATGGGATTTCACCATGTTGCCCAGGCTGGTCTCGAACTCCTGGGCTCAAGCAATCTTCCCGCCTCAGCCTCCGAAAGTGCCGGGATTACATGCGTGAACCACCGTGCCCGGTCTGACCCTCCCCCCCGGCAGGAAAGAGCCTCCAGTTCTCAGCCCAGGCTCACCCTTGCCCCCCTGGACAGGAGCCAGAGCAGTTGGTGGAATTAGGATGCCTGCTTCCTGGGTGTGACCCCCACCCCCACAACAAAGTAATTCCTTGATTGCTGGAGTCAGATTGCTTCTCCTGGGGCAAGAAGGACCACAGACTGCCAGGACATTGGGCAAGTCACTTAGCCCCTGTGCCCCATGGCCTCCCTGTAGGATAGTGAAAGCATTGTTATGAGGCTGCAATGAGTTCAGAATTGTGAAGAGATTGTGCAGTGGCTCACGCCTGCAATCCCAGCACTTTGGGAGGCTGAGGCGGGTGGATCACCTGAGGTCAGGAGTTTGAGACCAGCCTGGCCAATAGGGTGAAACCTTGTATCTACTAAAAACACAAAAATTAGCTGGGTGTGTTGGCGGGTGCCAACTACTTGGGAGGCTGAGGCAGGAGAATTGCTTGAACCCAGGAGTTGGTTCAAGCACTGTACTCCAGCCTGTGAGACAAGAGTGAGACTCTGTTTCAAAACAAAATAAAATAGCTGAGTGTGGTGGCTAACACCTGCAATCCTAGCACTTTGGGAGGCCAAGGTGGGTGGATTGCCTGAGCTTGGGATTTTGAGACCAGCCTGGGCAATATGGCGACACCCCATCTCTACTAAAACACAAAAATTAGCTGGGTGTGGTGTTGTGTGCCTGTAATCCTAGCACTTTGGGAGGCTGAGGTGGAATAATCGCTTGAACTTGGGAGGCAGAGATTGCAGTGAGTTGAGGTGACAGAGTGACTCCATCTCAAAAAACAAACAAACAAGAAACAAAACAATTTACTTGTTGCATCTTTACAGAAATCCATAGTCTTGATACTAATCCTTACACGATTCTCATTTTATAGGTGAGAAAATCAGGTTAAGCGACTTGCCCAAGGTCACACAACAAGGAAATTCTAGTCAGGATTGGAACCTGGAACCTGGTAGTGGCAGTCACTGCACCCTTGGGTGCCAGCACACTGTCCCTGTTTATGTGGCATATACATTTTTTCTTTTTCTTTCTTTCTTCTGGTTTTTGTTGTTGCTGTTTTGAGACCGCGTTTCGTTCTTGTTGCCCAGGCTGGAGTGCAATGGCTCGATCTCAGCTCACTGCAACCTCCGCCTCCTGAGTTCAAGCAATTCTCCTGCCTCAGCCTCCCAAGTAGCTGGGATTACAGGCACCAGCCACCATGTCCAGCTAATTTTGTAATTTTAGTAGAGACAGGGTTTCTGTCTCTACTAAAGAAAGAAGTAGACCATGTTGGTCAGGCTGGTCTTGAACTCCTGACCTCAAGTGATCCACCCACCTTGGCCTCCCAAAGAGCTGGGATTCCAGGTGTGAGCCACTGCACCCAGCCTATGTGGCATATTTTTTAGTTTAATCCTCATGACAACTCTACGGGTTGGTTTTTTTCCTTTTCTTTTCTTTTTGAGACAGGATTCAAGCAATTCTCCTGGCTCAGCCTTTGGAGTAGCTGGGATTATGGGACTACAGGCATGAGCCACCATACTGCTTTGTTTGTTTGTTTGTTTTTGGTAGAGATGGGGGTCTCGCTGTGTTGCCCAGGTTGGTCTCGAATTTCTGGACTCGAGTGATCCTCCCACCTTGGCCTCCCAAAGTGCTGGGATTACAGGTGTGAGCCACCACACCCGGCCAGAATGGTGTTATTTATCCTTATATTGTAACTGAAGGTGCTGAGGCCCAGAGAGACAGGTGATTTTCCCTGGGAGTGCCCAGCATGAGCTCGTGAAGTCAGCATTCAGGACTTGCTTCTGTAGCAGCCCTGACTGGGGCTTTCTGGCCTCTCTCTGCATGTATCCAATAACCAGGAGCTCTCACCTTCCAAGGCACTCATTGCTTGAACTGTTGGGAAGCTTTCCCTTAGCACAAGCTGAAATCTGTCCCTAGTGAGCTCTTTAGGTCTGAGTGACCTCGTAGGGCCAGCCACACTGGTTCACCACTCCCTCCTTTGTTGCACGTGGCTTCTTGCCTCTTCTTGTTCTCAGTCTGCTTAGGACAATCAATGTTCTTTCCATGGATCAGAGGCCAGTCCTTGCCCATCTGCAGGGAGGGATTGAGTTGACTATCACCCACCTGTCTTGGACACCTGACAGCAGAACCTTCAGCCCCAACTTGGCCATGATGGAAACTCTGGATGAGATTTAAGTTCTGGAAGTTGAGTTTTTGAGCCTGAGCAGCTTGTGGTTTCAGAGACCAGCTCCAGATATACCCTCTTTCAAACCCTCTTGTGTTGCTAATACAAGGCTGAGTCTGAGCCATCAAGAATGGAAGAAATCAGGGGCTTTTAGCCAGGCATGGCAGCGAACGCCTGTGGTCCCTGTTACTTGGGAGGCTGAGGTGGGAGGATCACTTGAGCCTGGGAGATCGAGGCTGTAGTGAGCCATGATTGCGCCATTGCACTCCAGCCTGGGTGACACGGTGAGACCTCAGAGACTTAAGGACAAAGAAGGTGGGGACACAAAACTCCCCTGGATTTCTCAGTGTGCCGGTAAAGAGCGCCAGCTTTGGCTGGGCACGGTGGCTCACGCCTGTAATCCCAGCACTTTGGGAAGCCGAGGCAGGCGGATCACGAAGTCAGGAGATTGAGACCATCCTGGCCAATATGGTGAAACCCTGTCTCTACTAAAAATACAAAAAATTAGCTGGGTGTGGTGGCGGGCGCCTGTAGTCCCAGCTACTTGGGAGGCAGAGGTGGGAGAATGGTGTGAATCCGGGAGGTGAAGCTTGCAGTGAGCCGAGATCTTGCCACTGCACTCCAGCCCGGGCCACAAAGCGAGACTCCATCTCAAAAAAAAAAAAAAAAAAAAAAAAAAAGCGCCAGCTTCCTGAGACTTTTCACATACCCCGAGAATCTGCAGTCATTTACACAGGTAATTGCCCTTATCCGGAAGAATAATAGAACTTTTCTCCTCCTAAAAGAACTAAATGGTTACAGCCTGAATGAGGGCCTAGGTTAAACAAGGTGTCAGGCAGCCTGAAGTAGCTACCTTCCTAAGCAGACCAGCAGAAGTTTGTGCTGTCACCATGCAACATGCAAGAAGGAATGAGCAGCTGGGTGCAGTGGCTCATGCCTGGAATCCCAGCACTTTGGGAGGCTGAGGCGGGTGGATCACCTGAGGTCAGAAGTTCGAGACCAGCCTGGGCAAAATGGTGAAACCCCGTCTCTACTAAAAATACAAAAATTAGCTGGGCACGGTGGAGGGTGCCTATAATCCCAGCTACTTGGGAGGCAGAGGTGGGAGAATGGTGTGAATCCGGGAGGTGAAGCTTGCAGTGAGCCGAGATCTTGCCACTGCACTCCAGCCTGGGCCACAAAGCGAGACTCCATCTCAAAAAACAAACAAACAAGAAACAAAAAAAAAAAAAGAAAAAGGAAAAGAAAAAATTAAGAACCTAAGAGAGAAGGCAAAGGGAGAGTCCAAAGGGGAGATTAAGAGACTGAAACAGAAACAAAAATTCATTCTGAGAGAGATAGCAGTTGAGATAAGAAAGAGTAAAACCAGGGAAAGTTTTGAGGGAAGCTAAGAGAAAGATGGAGAGACCAAATGCGAGGGACTGAGTTTGCATGTTTGTTCATTCACCTAGTGTCTGTAGAGCGCCTAATGGGTGTCACACACTTTAGTCTAAGCTGGAGACAAGCAGTAAACACAATTTCTATTCTGTAGGAAGAGACAGAGAAGAAACCAGCAAACAAGTAGAATGGTGATAAATGTTACGGAGAAAAAGAAAGCTAGGCAGTGAGATGTTGAGGAGATAGGAGATTTAAAATCAGGGAGTTGGGAGAGGCCTTGCTGGAAAGGTGATATTGAGCAAAGTCTGAGGGAGGAAACAGAGGAAGCCATGCAGTACTTGGGTTGGAGAGTGTTCCAGGCAGAGGGGACCTTAATTGAAAAGTCCCTGATGCGAGTGATCAACGGGGAAAGGGGTGATAAATGGGTCAGAGTGATTAATGTGGTCATAGCAGATAGGGCTTTGTGGGCCACAGTTAGCACTTTGGTTTTTATTCTAGATGAAATTTATTTTCTTTCTTTTTTTTTTTTTTAATATTTATTGATTTTTTTTTTTTGAGACGGAGTTTTGCTCTTGTTGCCCATGCTGGAGTGCAATGGCATGATCTTGGCTCACTGCAACCTCTGCGAGATGGAGTTTCGCTCTTGTCATCCAGGCTGGAGTGCAATGGTGTGATCTCTGTTCACTGCAACCTCTGCCTCCCGGGTTCAAGCGATTCTCCTGCCTCAGCCTCCCAAGTAGGTGGGATTACAGGCACCTGTCACCACACCTGGCTAAGTTTTGTATTTTTCATAGAGATGAGGTTTCACCATGTTGGCCAGACTGGTCTCAAACTCCTGACCTCAAGTGTTCCACCCGCCTGGACCCCCCAAAATGCTGGGATTACAGGTGTGAGCCACCGCACCTGGCCCTTGCCAACTTTTTAATGGAGTTGTTTTCTGCTTGTTGAAATGTTTAGTTTCCTTATATGATCTGGATGGTAGATCTTTGTTGGATGCATAGTTTGTGAATATTTTCTTCCATTCTTCAGTTGTCTGTTTGTTGATAGTTGCTTTTGCTTTTGCTGTGAAGAAGCTCTTTAGTTTAATGAGGCCCCACTTAACAATTTTTGTTTTTGTTGTTTTTGAGGACTTAGTCACGAATGCTTTACCAAGGCTGATATCCAGAATGGTATTTCTCCTGGGGTTTCTTCTACAATTTTTATGGTTTGAAGTCTTACATTTAAGTCTTTAACCCATCTTGAGTTAATTTTTTTATATGGTGAAAGGCAGGGGTCCACTTTCATTCTCTTGCATATGTCTAGCCAGTTATCCCAGTGCCACTTAAATGAAATTTCAGCTGAGATTTGAAAGATACACATACAGGAACCAGGGCAGAATTGAGTTCTGGGCTGCAGGCTCTGGATTCAGTTCATTCATTTATTCAATCTCTCTCTGTCATTAATTCTCCAAGCATTTAGAGAGGCCTACTTTGCCCCAAGGCTTGTCCTGGGTGTACTAGAGAGACCAACTTGGAGAAGACCCTCCCCTCAGCTCTGGAGGAAGAAAACATTTCAGAGTGGGGTGAGGTCCTGCCCTCCTGCAGGTGGGATAATCCTGCCAGGGTGACCTTGGTCAGCCATAAACTTGGGGAATGAATGGGCAACAGGCTGGGGAGCGGCTGCCAGCAAGGAGGAAGGAGCTGGAGAGTGTGGAGGTGGGAGTTGGGGGAGAAAGGGGAGATCCCCCCTCAATTTTCTGTCTTTTCTGTGGTGAGAAAGGTCCTGTCTCCCCGCTGGCTCTGAGCTCTGGCTACAGGCTGGCTGGGGAGGGAACAGTGGATGGGCCAAGACAGGTGGCCCTGGCATGTGATGCGTGCACGGGGACTACTCAGCTCTCACTTTTAGAACGGTTTCCGGAAGTGATGGGAGGGATTGGGCAGGGCAGCTAAATATAGTCCTGGAGCCATGGCTCAGTCTGGGAGGGTCTTCCACTGAGCACTGTGTGCCCATCACGCGTGGTGTCCACTGCCAGCTTCCCCTGTGAGTCCCTGTCCTTGCTTGGAGCCTGCTGCTTGTCTCAGATCTTTGGACACAGCCCTGACCCCAGTCCAGCTAGGCTCGACCCTTACCGGTCCTCCTTCCAGTGTCTTTCAGCCTAAGATCTCCAACCAGACCTGTGAGTCCCGTGGGCTGGAGGAGGGGGAGGGGAGGGCTGGAGATCTTGGTAAAATGGGGGAGGGGAGTCTTGAAGTGGGGGCTCTGGAGAATTTGGGGCCAGGGCTGAGGTCAGAGGCTGAAGCCTGGGGCTAAGGCGAGGGCAAGGACAGTGGGCTAGGACCTGGGCTTCAGTGTTCAGGAACTGGGGTTGACCGATAGCGCATATTTTTGGAGCTGGAGCTGAGAATTGCAGTGGAGGCTACTTTTGGGCCTGAGACCGAGTTCCTCTTCCCCTTCGGCCGTCAGAGCCCCATCCAGTGTAGGATGGGAGGTCTTTACAGGCTGCGGCTTCTCCCTGCGGCGCGGCGGGCCCGGCCTGGGCTAGGGCTGGGCCGGGAGCGCGGCGCCGTGGGTCCCCCTAACCGACTCCTCCTCCACCCAGGCCCGCCATGTCGGCTGCGCCCGGCCTCCTGCACCAGGAGCTGTCCTGCCCGCTGTGCCTGCAGCTGTTCGACGCGCCCGTGACAGCCGAGTGCGGCCACAGTTTCTGTCGCGCCTGCCTGGGCCGCGTGGCCGGGGAACCGGCGGCGGATGGCACCGTTCTCTGCCCCTGCTGTCAGGCTCCCACGCGGCCGCAGGCACTCAGCACCAACCTGCAGCTGGCGCGCCTGGTGGAGGGGCTGGCCCAGGTGCCGCAGGGCCACTGCGAGGAGCACCTGGACCCGCTGAGCATCTACTGTGAGCAGGACCGCGCGCTGGTGTGCGGAGTGTGCGCCTCACTCGGCTCGCACCGCGGTCATCGTCTCCTGCCCGCCGCCGAGGCCCACGCACGCCTCAAGGTGCGGGATCCGAGCGCATCGGGGTCGGAGAGGTTGTTCGGCGGAGCGGGGCCTGGTCGATGGGGAGGTCGCTGTACTGATTTGGATTCTGAGTCTCTAAAGAGGCTCACGAGCACCTGGAGTTGCGGGGGGCGGGGGCGGGGCGAAGCAGCCAGGAAAGAGTGTCTGAGGAGCTGAAGGCGGGGCTGACAGAGGAAAGCCGCGCAGGGACGGAGACTGGCGAGAAGGGCGCTGAGCAAACCTAGGTTCCCGGCCTTAGCCTCTAGAGGGACCTGGAGATGGGCGGGCGGAGCCCCAGGGCTGGTCTGATGGGCGGGGCGGAACCAGGCGGAGCAGAGACCGACCAGCCCCTACGGCCCACGCGCTCATTCCCGCACCAGGTGGGCCGGTCCCGCAGGCTCCCTGCGCGGCGCTGGCCCACTTTGGACTGGAGGCGCGGCGTTCCGGGCCGAGCCAGGGCTGTCCTGTTGTGCTCAGCGGAGGCTCACGCACCCCTGAAACTCTGGAACTTTGGCTGGCCCCAGGCGGGTCCCCTCACCAAAAGGGAGACTGGAAGGGCCAGGCAACCGGGATCTGCACTTGCGTGCGCGGACCCAGGGTGGCACCGAGAGCCCCGTCCAGGATGTTTTTCTGGGTGGAGCTGGAAGTCCCGAACGCCTTGGGAGCCCACACGTGGTTGTGTGCGTCCCGAGGTACTCAGCAGACACCCAGACAGAGGCAAATAGAGACCCACGCACACTGGCTAGTGCGTGCTATACGTGTGGCAAAAGCACACGCGTGTAGCTACCGGCGGGCACGTGTGCGCGCAGCCCCAGGAAAGTCTGTCATGAATATTTATTGGGCAGTGGAAGAAGAAATGACAGGTGCAGGGGCTGGAGGAGGCGGGGTCTGGAGGCACAGAGGCGTCCTTGGTCCCCGAGGTGGAGACACTGCCGTCGTCTTACGCTACTGGTGCGCGCGCGGGGCTGGCTTCACAGGCGTTGCACTACTCCTTCCCTTGGCCTGCCTCCTAGAGGGGGTAGACTACCGTCCTTTCGTTGGTATTCGAGGCCCCCGGGCTTCCCAAGGACCCAGCCTCTCAGTCCCGCCAGCTCCTGCCTGGCCCAGTTCAGCCCAGGCCTAGCTGGTGGTCTCCTAGCTCAGGGCAGGAGCCTCCTCCCGGGAGCCCTCCCATCCCAGCACACCTGTGCTTAAGAAAGAAAAGAAAGAAATTCAAGATGAAGCTGGGGACTGTGCCACTGCGCGAGGGCTTTGAGCGCATTCCAACCTCGCCCAACCTTGCCCGTCTTTATCTGCGAAGAGAGCACGGAACCCATGAAACGGAACAGGGCCCAGGCAGCCCAGGAGCCTGGAAGGGGGCAGTGGGGCGAGATGCAGCCCACCGGGGTTCGCGGCAGCCCAGCCCTTCGCCGCCGGGAGGGGCTGGCCGGAGGTCTGAGGGAAGACCCCAGGAGGGACCCTGAAGGAGGAGGGGAACAGGAAGGCTCTGGGCGGGACCTGACGCCTGGGTCCTTGGCGAGGAAGCGGGGTTGGGTCCCTAGATCACGTACCAGCTCAGAGTGGCCCTCGCGCGGCCCGCGGCAGCTGTGCCGCCTCCTCCAGCATGCCCATGTCGAGCAGCACGGCCACGACGAACTCGACTGCGTAGTCCTCGTAGTAGGAGGCGACCAGCTGGTCGGTGAGGTCCACGATGTCTAGCTGCCCGAGTGCGCCCCGCGGGATACGCTCAAAGCCCTCGCGCAGTGGCACAGTCCCCAGTTTCATCCTGAATTTTTCTTTCTTTTATTTTCTTTCTTTTTTCTTTTTTTTTTTGAGACTGACTCTTGCTCTGTAGCCCAGGCTGGAGTGCAGTGGCGCGATCTCCGCTCACTGCAAGCTCCGCCGCCTCCGGTGTTCACGCCATTCTCCTGCCTCATCCTCCCGAGTAGCTGGGACTACAGGCGCCCGCCACCACGCCCGGCTAATTTTTTTGTATTTTTAGTAGAGAGGGGGTTTCACCGTGTTAGCTAGGATGGTCTCGATCTCCTGACCTCGTGATCCGCCCGCCTCCGCCTCGCCTCCCAAAGTGCTGGAATTACAGGCATGAGCCACCCCGCCCGGCCCATCTTGAACTTCTTGAGCTCCTCCGGGGTCAGGTTCTCCAGCACCTTCAGGATGGCCTCGCGCTTCCTTCCTACGGCTCAGCCCTGAGCCTCTGAGCCTGGGAGGGCCTGGAGGCATCAGGTCCTACCTTTCCTGCAGCAGGTGGAGCCGCCGCCCCCGGGGATGAACCGGGGAGGAGACTGATCTGGCAGCTCATATTCAACCCTGTGGCTCCTGCTGGGAGGGGACTCTGCAAACACCACCTAGAGGGTCCCCTAGTTTCCCCTGGGAAAGTGGGGGCACCAAATTGTTGAGGTGGGGATTGCTGTTCCCAATCTGCAGAGGTTGGAAGTCATGGAGGCAGGAGTGGAACTCATTCCATGGCCAGGCACCTTCCAGCAAAGAAGTGGCTTTGTAGCCTGGCATGGTTGCTCATGCTTGTAGTGCCAACTATTCAGGAGGCTGAAGCAAAAGGATTGCTTGAGCCTAGGAGTTCGAGGATGCAGAGCTGTGATTGTGCCACTGCACTCCAGCCTAGGCAATCCTGTCTCAAAAAAAAAAAAAAAAAAAAAAAGAAAAAGGAAAAGAAAAAATTAAGAACCTAAGAGAGAAGGCAAAGGGAGAGTCCAAAGGGGAGATTAAGAGACTGAAACAGAAACAAAAATTCATTCTGAGAGAGATAGCAGTTGAGATAAGAAAGAGTAAAACCAGGGAAAGTTTTGAGGGAAGCTAAGAGAAAGATGGAGAGACCAAATGCGAGGGACTGAGTTTGCATGTTTGTTCATTCACCTAGTGTCTGTAGAGCGCCTAATGGGTGTCACACACTTTAGTCTAAGCTGGAGACAAGCAGTAAACACAATTTCTATTCTGTAGGAAGAGACAGAGAAGAAACCAGCAAACAAGTAGAATGGTGATAAATGTTACGGAGAAAAAGAAAGCTAGGCAGTGAGATGTTGAGGAGATAGGAGATTTAAAATCAGGGAGTTGGGAGAGGCCTTGCTGGAAAGGTGATATTGAGCAAAGTCTGAGGGAGGAAACAGAGGAAGCCATGCAGTACTTGGGTTGGAGAGTGTTCCAGGCAGAGGGGACCTTAATTGAAAAGTCCCTGATGCGAGTGATCAACGGGGAAAGGGGTGATAAATGGGTCAGAGTGATTAATGTGGTCATAGCAGATAGGGCTTTGTGGGCCACAGTTAGCACTTTGGTTTTTATTCTAGATGAAATTTATTTTCTTTCTTTTTTTTTTTT